CTCCCTGCGGGGAGCCTGATGTGAGACTCAATCCCAGGACCCCAGGATCATGACCTGAGCCAAAGGCTCAACCACTGAGCCACCCAGGCGTCCCCACCCAGTCCAGGTGTGCCTGGCCTTGAAGCCCAGATTCTTTTCACTGCAAAGCCATCTTACTGCTCCTTTTGACTTCCTGTTCTGTCCCCTCCTGGGAGCACCCAGCTCCTCCCTGCCCTGCCTTTATTCCTGCTGTTCCCCTCACCCCAAAGCCCAGATGGATTCAAATCCTTGGCTGCTAGTTCTATTTCCTTTTTAAATTTTATTTAAATTCAACTTGCCAACATCCAGTATCATACCCAGTGCTCATCATATCACGTGTCCTCCTTAATGCTCATCACCCAGTTACCCCGGGCCCCCACTCCCCTCCTGCACCCCTTTGTTTGTTTCCCAGAGTCAGGAGTCTCTCTCATGGTTTGTCTTCCTCTCTTAATTGTTCCCCACTCACTTTCCCCCTCTTCCCTTATTTCTACTTCTATTTCATTTTTTTTAAAAGTTGGTCCAAAGCTCAGAAACAGAACATTTCAGTTGGCTCAGTTTTTTTTTTTTAAGTATTTATTTATTTATTGAGACAGAGAGAGAGGCAGAGACCTAGGCGGAGAGAGAAGCAGGCTCCATGCAGGAAGCCTGATGTGGGACTCGATCCTGGGATTCCGGGATCATGCCCTGAGCCAAAGGCAGATGCTCAACTCCTGAGTCACCCAGGCGTCCCGCTACTTCTATTTCAAATGCCACTTTTCTATGGCATTTATACACAGCTGGATTATGTCATGTTAGAATTCTCCCTTTAGCTTCCCCACAGCATGGATGGACTGGGCTGCACCTCCCTTTCTTTCCTCACCCCTTTCCTGGTATCTGGCCGGGGTTCACACTCAGGGCTCTATCATGCTCCCTGAGATGGTTTGGTTTCACGGAGGACTCTCTCGCGGAGCTAGCTCTGGAGCTGTGAGAGCCAGGTCCAGTCTCTCTGGGATTCAGCTCCCTTCCATCCTTGTGGAAAAAGAAAGAATCTTCTCTACCCACCAACCTCTCTCCACACCTCTCCTCCAGAGATGAGGAGGCTCTGCTGTGAGGGCCTCTGTGTTAGCCATAGTATAATTCCTTGCTCCCTCTTGGCCTCTCTGGTTGGAATCACTTATGCTCTGACTGTAGAAGGCAAAAGTAGGCCCATCTCTGCACATGCCCAGGTTGGGAAAGAGCACAGGCATTTCAAGGTTAGCTGCTAAGTGTCACCCTAGAACATTCCATGAATATACACACATGGATAGCTATATCTGTCTGTATATGTATATAATAGATTATATATTTTTTATTCTGAGTAAATTTTATAATTTTTGACTATGAATGACCTATGAATTATTTAGAGGTCTTTTTAACATCACATGCGTATTTCATATTTTAAAAAAGATTTTACTTATTTATTTGAGAGAGAGTACATGCACATTAGCAGGAGGAGGAGACAAGAGGGAGAAGCAGACTCCCTCCTGAGCAGGGAGCACAATGTGGGGCTGGATCCCAGGACCCTGAGATCCTGACCTGAGCTGAAGTCAGACACTTAACTGACTGAGCCACCTAGGCACCCCTGTTTTATATTTTAAAAACTATTGTTAGCTATTGCCTTTGATTTAATAGCATTATAGTCAGAGAGCTTTATCTTAGCCTAGGTTTCTTAGAAAACTTATCTAAAAATAAAAAAAAAGAAAGAAAGAAAACTTATCTAAATTAAAGGTACAACTTAATGCTTTATCATGGGGTTCCATCCCAGGAAAGTAGGAGTCAGAGGGAAAGGGCTGTGAAGCAGGGAGAAGGAGAAAGCCATCACAAGGTGAGGAGTTCCTGAACTGACCACTGTTCTATAAGCTGAATCACAGGACAGTCCCTGGGGAACTAGGGCTTCTCTGAATAGTTCCATACTGGGAAGAACGATGAGTAATTTATCTGCTGGCTCCATCCTGTCTCCTGTTTTCCATTATTCAACATTTGTCCTATAGATAGTAATTTCTATGTTACATTGCTCAGCCTTTCCAGGCAGCTCTGGGGAAGCTCTGAGTGCTAGAGCTACTCTGGCTCCCATAATGGTGGGAGCGATGAAGACCACCCAAGCCAAAGCCCGGCCCTGGCCCCAGTTTGTGCAGGAAGATTGGTGTGGTGTTAGAAATGATGGGTTACCAGAGCTTTAGAACCATGGACATGAAAGCGGCCAGAGCTGGGTCCATGCAAGGCAGGAATCTGGGCTGAGAGGTGGGAGGATGGGGATGTAGGCAAGGCTGAGTGGGGATTGATGGGAGCATGAAACTGGGTCTGGTGGGTGCCCATACTACTTTTGAAATGTGTCAAGACTTTATGGCCTAGTATATAGTCGACTTTTTACAAATGTGCTTGAGACGGATATTTATTTTCTAAGTTTTGAGTGCAAGATTCTGTACCTATTAGGCATGCTAATCATATTATTTAATCTTCTCTACTAGTATTTTATCTGTTTGACCTAAATCAATAAGTGGGAGAAGAATGCTGTGCTGTAGTCTTCTGTGTTGGTGGATTTATCAATTTCTCCTGTAGTTCTATTTTTTCTTTTCTTTTTCAGATTTTATTTATTGGAGAGAGAGAGAGAGAGAGAGAGAGAGAGAGAGAAAATGAAAATGCAAGCTGGGAAGAGGGGTAGAGGGTGAGGGAGAAGCAGACTCTAGCCCGTGGAGCAGGGAACCCGATGTGGGACTCGATCCCAGGACCCTAGGATCATGACCTGAGCCGAAGGCAGACACTTAACCACTTGAGCCATCCAGATGCCTCCATTAGTTCGTTTAGGGCTATTTTTATATTCTGTTTATACAAATAAGAAAAACATATTTACTGAGAAATGTTTTTGAAATATATTTTAAATATACAGAAAAGTAGAATGAAACATCACTTTGATTTCACACTTGATGACATTTTGCTGTATCTGCTTCAACTGTTGTGTTTTTCCTGAAGTCAATTACAACTTCAAGTCATTTTATCCCCAATTTTTCTGCATGCATGTCTAAGGATATTTTTGTAAAGTATAATATCATGGTCACACGTAAGGAACTGTTCCTTATGACCATTTAATCCACGGATCCTATTCACAACTCCCCAGTTACCTCTTTACCCAAATGTCTTTTGCTGCTAATTTGTTCAAGACCCAGTCAGGGAGCTCCTATTTGGTTGTTATGCCTCTTAAGAGCCTTTCACGACATTGACTTATGAAGAGGTTGGGTCACCTGTGTGTAGAATGTCCCACCTTTTGGATTTATCTGTTAGCTTCCAAGTGGTGTCATTTAACTCATTTTTCTAACTTATATGTTTAGCTGGAAATTAGATGTAAAGGTGTAGATTAAGCATTTTTGATAAGGTGCCTTGAGGTGACGCAACATGAGGCATACTTCATATTCACAAGAGGAGGCACATAATATCTCTACTCCACTGTTAGTGGGCAGGGTAATGTCAGCCTGATTCCTTGATTTTATTTTTATTTTTTATTTTTATAAGGTTTTTTTTTAAAGATTGTATTTATTTGACAGAGAGAGAGAGAGAGAGAGAGAGAGAGAGAGAACGAAGCGTGCTCACAAGTAGGCAGAATGGCAGGTAGAGGGAGCACTTGATGTGGTGTTCAATCCCAGGACCCTGGGATCATGACCTAAACCGAAGGCCAGATGCTTAACCAACTAAGCCACCCAGGTGCCCCTAATTCTTTGATTTTAGAGTTAGATTTTCCTGTTGAGATTAGCAAGGAACCTGTGGGATGATACTTGGGCATTTAACAACTATCCAGTTCTCCATAACCTTTCCCTTAATGCTTTTCACCTCCATTTGACGATTCTTGCCTGAATCCATGATTTCATTAGAGGTTGTAGATTTTCTATCATTCACTGATTTGATTAGCTACATTTTTTGGTGTGTGTAAAGAAGAGCTTCCCTTCACTACCTTGAGCACCTTGTTACCTGGAGGTAGATTTCTATGGTGAAGCAGAAAGATGCTTGCTTCCTCGCCTCCCCACCCCCCATTACTATTTCAGAGTAAGGACTTGGTATGACAGTCAACTCCAGTGGTGACAAAGGGATTGTGTTTTTTTCTTTTTGTTTATAGGTTTTAACTTGCTCTGTCTTCCTGGTGAATTGATCCTTTTATGACTATGCAGTGACCCTCTTTATCCTAAAGTCAGTTTTGTTTTTTGTCCTAAATCCCTGCTTTAAAAAAATGTTATATAGCTTTTCCAGCTTAAATTTGGTAAAGTGCTTGTGTTCTAGATATTTTTCAATCTTTTTATTTTTAATAGTTCCATAACCTAATGTTTTGGATGTATCTCTTATAAATAACACATAGCTTGATTTTACATTTTTATTCAACTTAATTAACTCTATTAGTTGGTAAGTTTAACATTTAGTGTGATTATTGATAACTCTTATTTTTACCCACTTACTTTGTACTTTTTGTTTATTTTTTCCTGCTTTCTTCTTCAGTCTCCTCCTCAGCCCTCTGAGACTGTGTTATTTGTTTTCTTTTCCTGAATCTATTTGTTTTTTTTTAATTTTATTTATTTATTTATTTATTTATTTATTTATTTATTTATTTATTTATGAGAGAGAGACAGAGAGAGAGAGAGATGCAGAGACACAGGCAGAGGGAGAAGCAGGCTCCATGCAGGAAGCCTGATGCGGGACTTGATTCCAGAGCCCCCGGGATCATGCCGTGAGCCAAAGGCAGATGCTCAACCTCTGAGCCACCCAGGTGTCCCTAAACTTCCTTCTTGAACAATTTCAGAACTTTGGAATATTTTAACTCCAACTGTCCCCTCCTGACTTACATGGCATTGTTATCCTGTATCTTACTTAGGTTTTAAAAAAATTAACCCACAAGATAGGTGATATTTTATGTAGACAAAGTTCATTTAGATTTATGTACATTTTTATCAGTTGCTTCACTATGTCTTCTAGCATCTCTGCTCTTCCTATGGGGATCATTTTTCTTTTTTCTAAAGTACATACTTGAATTTACCCAAAGGATACAAACATACTAATTTGAAGGGATACATGCACCCTGACTGTTACAGCAGCATTATCGACAATGGCCAACTTATGGAAATAGCCCAAGTGTCCCTTGATAAAGAAGATGTGGTATGTATACACAATAGAATATTACTCAGCCATGAAAAAGAATGAAATCCTGTCATTTGTAAGATGGATGGAGCTAGAGAGTATAACGCTAAGTGGAATAAGTCAGTCAGAAAAAGACAAATACCATTTGATTTCACTCACACATGGAGTTTAAGAAACAAAACAAATGAACAAACGGGGAAAAAAAGAGAGGCAAACCAAGCACCAGGCTCTTAACTATGGGGAACAGATTGATGGTTGGTTACCAGAGGGGAGGTAAGTGGGAGGATGGGTGAAATAGGTGATGGGGGTTAAGGTGTGCATCTGTGATGAGCACAGGGTGATGTATGGAATTGTTGAATCACTATATTGTACAACTGAAACTAATATCACATTGTATGTTAACTAGAATTGAAATAAAAACTTAAAAAATACATACTTGAGATATTTCTTTAGAGGAGACCTGTTGGTAGTAAACTCTCAGTCGTTTCCTTGAAAATGCCTTAATTCTTAAAAGGTAGTTTTGTAGGATTCACAATTCTCTATTGTCTCAGCACACTGAAGATAGAGTTTACTGGTTCCTTTACTGCTATGGGGAAGTCTGCTGGCAATCTAATTCTGGTATTTAATTTAATTTAATTTAATTTAATTTAATTTAATTGAGAGAGAACAAGCAAGTGAGAAAGAGCACAAGTGGAGGGACAGAGGGAGAGGAGAGAGAGAATCCCAAGCAGGGTCCATGTTCAGTGAGGAACCTGATATAGGGCTTGATCCTAGGACCCCGAGACCATGACTGGAGCCAAAACCAAGAGTCGGATGCTCAACCAACTAAGCCACCCAGGCGTCCCTCACTCTGGTATCTTTATGGTGTTGTAGGAAGCCTGGGTTGTCTCTCTGGTTGCTTTAAAGAGTTTGTTCATTTTTGGTGTTCTGAAACTTCACTATCATGTGTCTAGGTGAGGATTTATTTGAATATTTCTGCCTTGGTCATATGTGCTTATGCACTATTGGGGCAAATGCTGTATGTGTGGATTCATGCCTTTAATGAATTTTGAACATTCTCAGCTGTTATCTCTTTAGATGTTGTTTCTCCTTCATATTTCTGTTCTCTCCCTCTGATTCTTCAACTGGATTTGTTAGACTTTCTTATTCTAGTCTCCATTGTCCACAGCCTTGTTTTGTGTGTATATATATTTTATATCCTTATTTCTTTCTATAGCAAACTTAGTAATTTCTTCCATCTAACTTCTGGTTCATTAATCTTCTCAATCTGTCTTAAGTGCTATTTACCCCAAACATTCAGCTTTTTTTTTTTCATTCAGCTTTTAAATTTAATAAAAAAGGTAGTTTTTTTGAGGTTTTATTTATTTATTCATGAGAGATAGAAGGACAGAGACAGAGGGAGACGCAGGCTCCTCATGGAGTGGGGAGCCTGATGTGGAACTTGATCCCAGGACCCTGGGACTATGACCTGAGCTGAAGGCAGACGGTTAACCAACTGAGCCCTACCCAGGTGCCCTATAGCTCTTATTTCTAAGAGCTCTATTTGGTTCTTCTTCAAATCTACTTGTCACAGTTGCTTTATTAAAATACCTATTTTTTGGCTGTTTTTAGAGAGACAGAATTGTGTGCATGCATGAGTGGAGGTGGGGAGGGGTAGAGGGAGAGAGAAAATCTGAAGCAGGCTACCTGCCTAGTGTAGAGCCCAACAGGCTCGATCTGATGACCCTGAGATCATGACTTGAGCCAAAATCCAGAATCAGATGCTTAACTGAGCCATCAGGGTGCCCCCAAAATACCTATTTTTTTTAAAGAGAAAATAGATATTGGTGAGGTTGTGGAGAAATTGGAACCCTTGTGCACTGAATGTAAAATGGTGCAATCCTCATGCAAAACAATAAAAAATTGGGATACTTGATGGCTCGGTCAGTTCAGTGTCTGCCTTTGGCTTGGGTTGGGATTCCAGGGTCCTGGGATCGAGCTTGTGTCGGGTTCCCTGCTCAGTGGGGCATCTGCTTCTCTCTCTCTCCCCCGCTTGTGTTTTCTTTCTCTCTCTCAAGTAAATAAAACAATTAAAAAAAAAAGGAAAACAATAAAAAATTGAAAACAGATACCATATGTCCAGCAATTCTATTTCTGGGTATATACCCCAAAGAATTGAAAACTGAATCTTGAAGAGAGATTTGTACACCCTGCTCATAGCAGCATTATTCATTATAGCCAGGAGGTAGAAACAAGATGTCCATTGATGAATGAATGAATAAATGTAGTATAAATAACGGAATATTATTCAACCTTAAAAAGGAAGAAAAATCTGACACAGGCTACAACCATGGATAAACCTTGAAGACACTCTGCTAGGTGAAGTAAGCTGGGCACAAAAAGGCAAATGCTATGTGATTCCACTTACATGAGGCACCTAAACTAGTCATTTTCATAGAGACAGAAGGTAGACAGGTGGCTTCCAGTATCATGGGGGAGGAAGAAATCGGGGAGCTATTGTTTAATGGTACAGAATTCTGGAAGGGAAAAAGAGTTTTGGAGATGGACGGTGATGGCTTAATACCATTGAACTGTATACTTACAAATGGTTAAGATAGTAAATTTTTGTGGATTTTAAATTACAAATATTTAAAAATATCTTTATGAGGAAAAAGTACCCATTTTAAGCATTTATTTTTAAGATTTTATTTATTTGAGAGAGAGCTAGCACGGGAGAGTCTGCATGAGTGGGGGGAGGGGCAGAGGGAGGAGCAGACTCCCTGCTGGAGCAGGGAGCCTGATGCGGGGCTTGAACACAGGACCCCAGGATCATGACCTGAGTTGAAGGCAGATGCTTAACTGACTGAGCCACCCAGGTGTCCCTCATTTAGAATTTATTTAAAGATTCAGAAATTATGATATTGGCATAATGTGATAGTTTATAACATGAACACTGGAATCAGAATACTCATATTCAGCTTACCTATATGTAACCTCAGGCAAGGTACTTAGCTTCATTGAGCCTCAGTTTTCTTACTCATAAAATGGGGATGGAAATGGGGATGGGATACGAATGGCAACTATCTCATAGGTTTGTATGAGTCTTAAATGACTTAATACACAGTGAAACACTTAGAATAATGTCTGGCACATAGACATATTCTATAGTATCAGTTTTTCTTATAACCTGGTAATTCTAACATAAGGTCCTTGACTATTTTTGATGATTCCCACTCCTGGGATTTTCTTTTTAAAAAACCTTGGCTGATCTTTGATGGTGAGCACTGGGTCTAGGTTTAGTTCTGATCTCAACTTTCATATAGGTCTTAGTCCCTTGGACAACCCAAGATTTTAGTTAGCTGTTGCTCTCAGATCTCTACCTTCATTTCAGCTCACGATTCTGATAATTTTGTTTTATTTATATGTGTTTATTCATGTTTTTATTTGGTCTTTGAAGATTTCTATTTCTTGAGAACCTAGTAAAGCGTTTTCACCTAAGATCTGACCAGGAGGGTCCTCAGAATACCTGGGCCCCCATACAGTGGCCAGAGAAGTCCATGGGGCTTAATTCTCTGACAATTTGAGTGCAAGATTTATTCATGCTTATGTACCCAGAACCCTACTTAGGTCCCACTTCAGACTTTGCATATATATGTATGTGTGTGTGTGTACATTTTTTTTTTTAAAGAATGGAAGAAACCATGCCCAGGGCTCTCTAGGTAGAAGTGAGGACTCAGGTGCAGTATCTCTTTCCAGGCACTGGGTGAGCCATGGTTTACCATCAGCCTTAAGCACGCAGATCCTCTCTCTCCCAAGTCACAGGTGTTATCTCCCGTCTTTGGGTCTCCTTTTTCCTTCTTTGGGTATCAGTGGTCTCCCTAGGACCTTTTCCTACCCAGGTGCAGGAATGATGCAATAGTCTCAGCTCAGTTCTTAGCATGCAGCCCAGTCCACCAGTGTCAGACTTTACCCACCTGTTTAGTAGCAGCATCCATAGAATTGTCATAACATTAAGTAATAGTATTGAGCCAATAGCAGGACTGTGCATTTTACATTACAACTGGTTTCTTCCTGGATGGGCTTGAGGATGGGTGGTGGAGAGGGCTGGCTTAGAGCCTTTCCTCCCTTCAATGGGTGATCTGAGCTTTTACTGGAGAGTCTACTTGGTGATCTGAGCTCTCACTGAAGAGTCTACTTCCATTTAGTAGAATAGGAAAGTTCCTTCCTGGCTTAGCAATGCCTTCAGAGACCTTGGCTAAAAGGCTGGCCTGTTCAGTAGGCTGTATCTTTCTCCTTGGGATGCCGGGAGCCCCAGGGGTGGTGGAGCTGGTGGTGGTGATTTCCTCTGGGTGCTTGTGGGCTGTGATGTCTTTTACAGGAATGGAAGCCCTTTGCTGCACCAAGAAATGTTGAGGCGATTGGCAGAGAGGTGTGCCCACAGGGGCTCTTGCTCTGTCTGACTTCTAGGGGGATCCCCAGTGGGCAGGACAGGGGGAGGCAGCTTCCAGCAATATGAAGGGGCCGCAGCATCATGGTGTAGACTATGACAAGAGACCAAGAGTCAGATGACTTGAAACTGGACAAGGTGGTGATATGTGCAAAGTTAGTCTGCTTTTTCTGAAGCTCTTTGCTCCTCTCTCTCCTCTAGGGATGTTTCTTGAAAGTTTCCACCCTTTTCATCCCAATGGAGTCTGTTCTCTGGAAATTCTTTGCCAGAGAATAGAGAATGATAAAGCTGGGTGTGTTCTATATCCTAAGGCATTTGTATTTATTTGGAATCTCAGGTCTAAGGAATTCCAGCTCTTCATGGCGGAATCTCAGGTTGTCACTGAGGGGCAAATTATTTAGGATGTAAGGGGTCATCTCAGACCATTTAAATCAAAGCTAAGGACAGTTTGGTACCTTTAGGGTAGAGAGGAAGGTAGGGAAGGTACAATAGTTGGGGCTCACCTTTCGGACATTATAGATCCAGTTGAGATAGGCTGTGACCTTGGTGTACACTCCCGGGGTACTGGGACCCCCACAGCCATGGCCCCAGCTCACGATGCCCACCACCTGCCACTGGTCAGAGTGATACATCAAGGGCCCACCGCTGTCACCCTGTGAGACACCAGAACAGGGGCTGCTGGGGAGGGCAGGCAGGGCTGGCATGGAAGAGTGGGCTTATCTTTCGTCCCTTTCCTGCATTGGCCCATCCTTCCCCTGTGCTCCCCACTGCTCCCCAGTGCTGTGTGCTGTTCTGCCCTCACCGCTTCTGCTGAAGCTCTTCCTGCAGCTTGGAAGGCCTTTCGATTTGGGGTGAGAGGGTTCTGTTTGTGGTCAAGAAAGTAGTTGGTGTGCCTTCTTGCAGAGATTCACAATGCACACTAGAGCAAACCAAAGTCTCTAGAAGGTTCTGCAGTGAGAAGCCCAAATATTTCTTTTTTATAACCGAGTATTTCCCAGATTATTTAGCTGCTCAGGAGATGCCTATTGCACGCCAGGTACTGTTTTAGACAATTAGGATTTGATCAATTAAAAGAACAAAGATCCCTGCCCTCGGGGAGCTTAGAGTTAAATGGAGAAGAGAAAGACGGTAAACAAGACCAGAACTTGTCAGGTAGTGAGAAGTGCACTTATCTGGGTGTCTGTCCCAGCTCCTTGTAGTCCCTGAGACTTCCTCCCTCAGAACCCAACAATACCGGGTAGCCTAACTCTTCCCCCTCCCGCCCCACCCCCGCCACTGTGAGCTCCCCAAGGGAAGAAGACACTGTCCCTAAAACCCAGTATTTATTTACCTGACATTCAAGAGATGGCTAAGAGCTACCTCTTGAGTGAAGGAATTTAATGGCTGGGAATGGGGGCAGGAGTAGGGATAGGGACTATAGTGAAAATAGCTTGGAAGATTGTTTGGGGGTGGAGGGAGTGAGAATGTATGCGGAGACTGGTCAGTAGGGTTGGCAGGGAGGCACTGCACCAGGGCTCATCCAGCAGCAGATGGATTTTCTCTAGGGTAGTTCAGCATCTTTGCAGTTCTAGAAAGAATAGACCTGGCATTCCTGCCCTCAAGTGACCCCTACTCCTATGAGTGATGGGAAGTAAGAGCAGGTGGGGTGGGTAACATCATCTTTGTATGTGAAATACACATTTGAAATCTTTCCACTGGTCTCTGTCCATCCTTCCTTCCATCATTCCATCCTTATCTTATAGTCTTTCTTCCCCTCCCTCTTCCCTTCATCACAACATTGAGTGCCCACCATATGCAAGACTTCATGTGAGGCAGTCGGCCTCTGGACTTATCTCTCTAGGACTCACATCCCTTTCCAAGGAACTCCCTTATGATCCCACCTGGCAGGTGTCCACGCCGCCCTCCAGGATGCCTGCGCACAGCATCATGTCGGTGACTTCCCCCTGGTATGCGTCCTCTGCATTGCACCGAGTGTGGTTAATGACCTGGACAGATGCCTGTTGCAGGGTGTCGGACATCTTTCCTGGGAGGTTGAAAACATGCTCATATTCCCCTTCTTGTTTCCTACCCCCAGCCCAGGAAAATTCTCTGGGTTGCCTGGCACCTTGGTGCTTGGACTTCCAGGATGGGTTTTTCTCAAGGATGGTCCTCCTTCCCATCACCTCCAAGAGCTGTTCCTTCAGCCCTGTGGTCCTAAACCCAGGACTTACCTCCATCCGGCTCCGTAAAGCCCCATCCAATGACCCAGAGTGGGGTGGCTGGAATGAGCTCCTCATCAAAAAAAGGCAGGCAGATGGGCCTGACTGTGCCTGCCAGGAGCAGAGAGTAGGGGGAGAGACTGGTGGCTAAGCCCTCTGGAAAGGTTGACATCAGGGTTTCCATGACTAGTGTTCCATGGGATGTTAACAAAAGTGGCATGAGAAAGTTTTGTGCTCAAATAAGTTGAGGAGATATGGTTTAAATATAATAAATTAAAAAAATCTCGTATCTTTAATATACAAATGTGCCCCAAGAAGAGAGCTCTACTATAAAAATATTTCCCCAACTTATTTGAGAATAGAAGCATTTTACTTTTCTCCTAAGGGATCAGTGTGTCCTGTGGAACTGACAGTTGGAAATGCTGATACAAATATTATCCAAGCATGAGTCATCTAACAGAGCTGTTCAAAGGTTCCAGGGGCTGCCTTAAAGGTAATGAGCTCCCTGCCCCTGGGAGACCAGATGGGCACAATAACCCCTCGGTAAAGATATTGTACAGGCTCTTGGCATTGGTTGAGGGTGGAGGAGGGACTAGATGATCTTTTAGGTCCCTTACAACCCCAAGATCAGATGAATCTATGATTCTCACTTGAGGTACTCCACAGGGAGAAAACAGACCTAAAAGAATCCGGCAGGGAGTGGGGTGGGTTGTCAGCTGAATGCTCAAAGGGGCCTCATGCCCCTCCCTGATGTTAGGCTTGTATATTCACTGGAAACAAATGCACAGCTGAGGGCTTGAGAGGACAAGTGATGTGTCCAAAGTCACTTAGTGAGCTAGAGGCAGGGTGGGAGTATAACCTGACCTAAGGGGGTCTGGTCCCAGATGTCACCTCTCACCGGAGAATGTGAGTGGGAACTGCAGCTTCACAAGCGCAATGTCCTTCTCTTTAGGGTATGTGGTGTTGAGCTCAAAGACGAAGATGTTGGCCACAGGCAAGGATGGGAAGGAGCCCAATTTGTCAGAGCCAGCCCTCACCTTCCAGTTGGACACATCGTGATGCTTCCTAGGGGACAGAGAGCAGGGTTCAGGCCTGAGCCAAGCATGTGCAGGGTTTGCGAAAAGCTTGGTCCCCAGGGCCCTGGGGATTGGGGTGCCAGGTGTCCCTACTTTAGGAGGTAATGATGGTGAGGCCAGGGGTGGTGGAGAAAAGGAGCAGGTGTGAGGAATCACCTACAAAATGCTAAATTCTAAAAGGGGGTTTGATCTTTTCACCCGGTGAAACCTGCCCAAGGAACCTTCTAACTGGAGGGTTGCAGAAGGGGGCTGTTCCCAGTGCCTGAGCTCTGAGGTCCTGGCACTCTCTACGCTGTCCCCAGTGCTTTTTACTCTGTGTTACTCATGTGGTACTCACATTGCCAGTTGTGTACTTGTCTGCCTTCCTGGTGACTCCAGATGCTCTTGCCTACTTAGTGTGCAGGGGTGGTTTTCCAGGAAAGGACTTAGAGCTTTGTCAGATCTCAAAAAAGGTTAAGAATCCCTGGCCTACACTGTGAGTTCCTCCAAGGCACTGACGGATCTAATGCATATGGGCACATAATATAGTACTTCTTAGATGTTGAATGAATAAATAAAAGAAGGAAAGTGAAGGTGGCCTGGGAATAGTCCTCCTTCAGCTGTTGGTAGGTACTGTTAGGTTGTAGAACCCGTGACTGAGAAAGGTACTTTCAGAAGTTCCAGGGGCATATGGCAAAGGTTATCCAGAAGTTCTCTTGTCAAACTGTGGCTCTGTGCAGGGGTTTCAGCTGAGGAGTGGTGCTTGTGGCAGCCCTCAAGGGCTTTGAAGAGGCTGTGGTGTGCAGGCCATTGGAGAGGGCCAGAGGTATGGGCTTGGCCTGTAAGGGAATCTATGTTTTTTGATTTTTTTTTTTAAGTTTTTGGCTATAATGGGGGAAGTGGCAGTGACTCTAGACCCTGGAACCTCTCCGTGGAAGACTGGCAGAGGGAGAGCATTCTCAGGACTCCAGAGAGCTCGATGGGAAGAGCTGCTGTGGAGTGAGAGATAAGGGACCAGGGATGCCTGGGTGGTTCAGTGGTTGAGTGTCTGACTTTGACTCAGGGCATGATCTCAGGGTCTGGGGATTGAGTCCCACATCGGGGTCCCTGCAGGGAGCCTGCTTCTCCCTCTGCCTATGTCTCTGCCTTTCTCTCTGTGTCTCTCATGAATAAAAAGTAAACTAAAAAAATCTTTAAGAAAAGATAAGAGGCCAGACTGAGGATGCTGGGTATCTGATTGCTTCCCAACTGGAAGAGGTTAAACTTGGTGATTGAGCCTGGTGACCAGCGCCCTCTGCTCACCCCGGGTGCCTAACAAAGGACATCATACCTGCTGACTCATTGGGGTGGCCACACCCAGGGACATGGTCTGCAGAAGGAGGGCAAAGAGGGGTGACGACATTGGAGCACAAGTTGGGAGACGAGGGACCCAGACACTGGCCCTCCAAGGCTTTGATCCCTCGAGGCTTCCTGGTGTGGTGGGCCTTACCTGAAGCAGTGGGCTGCCGTGAGGATCCAGTGGGGGTCCAGGACGCTCCCTCCGCAGATATGTTGTTTGTTGTACTGGATGCTGACCTGCCAGGGCCAAGAGTCCACAGAGGCCTTCTCCCCGCCCACCACCCGAGGGGCCTTCAGGCTCTCCCCACAGGCTGGCGTCAGTAGGAAAGAGGGAGAAATCAAGAGTCAGGCTCTTGAGGGATGGGCCTGCCTCCCCCTTGGAGGCCTGGCTCTATCGCCTTAGAGCCAGGCCCTTATGACTGGGACTTGGAGGGGTGGGGAGAACCAGGCCCATTTTGAGTTATTCAAAGGGAGAGAGTACCCCAGACCATAGGCCTTCCCCTCAGCCTCCCCCTCCTTTGTGTGGCTTTAGATGTGTTTATATTGTGGACGCGGGTGTGTCCGTGGTGCTGGGAATTCATGGCCTTCAAACCAAACAAGTGATGCGGAATTACGAAAGTCCTGCCCAGGTGGAGTGTCCCCAGCCACTCCTGCTGAGGTATCGGCAAACAGACACCCACAGACTGCTCTGGGTCCCGGAAGTAGGAAGAAAGTTCCAGAAACAGAATCTTCCTATCCTAAACCCCCCTTTCTCCGAGTCCTCCCACCCCCATGAGTGAGTCTCCCAGGTTGACACCCTGTGCTGTCTTTCATATGCCACCGTCCTAGGCTTTTCCATCACGACCCTGAAGCTCGTGTAAAAGCCTCCGTTCCCACCTCTCCGCCCTGCCCTTAGCCTCTCCAGTCCTGGCCGTCACTGCCACAGCTGTGGTGCTCACAGGAAAAGGCTGCTCTCCTTTCCGGGCCAATGTTGGCCAGGGGCTTTTCAGACACCTCATCGTCCAAACTCTGCTTTCTCTGTGTCTCCTCACAGTCCCAAGGCATCTCTCTCTAGGGTAGAGTTTAAAGTCCTCCTCCTGGCAGCAGCCTGTTGTCCTTATATAAGGTTTCTGTCTAGCCGAATCGATCTGCCTGTAGCTCCCTAAAAACCCTTCTGTTTTTGCTCAAGGAAACCCCCATCCCTGAGATGCTAGCTCTCCTCTTTGCTGCTTATCTGAACCATTGATTCGCTCAGCAAATTTGTATCATGCGCCTGCTGTGTTCAGGGAGGCTGGGAAGAGAGTGGAGGGCAAGACGGAAAGATGGACAGACAGACATGGCCCCTCCCTTCTGGGAGCCTACCTCTCAGTGTTTAGCCTGGGCACCACCTCCCTGGGGCTGCCCAACCCCTGGGGACTTTCTTGTCCTGGAATTTCCATAGCCTGCCCCTGCCGTTGGCCTGCCTTTTGTTTCTGTTGTGCTTAGCTCTTCCCAGTGAGATCGATGGCTCCTCAAAGGAGGGTCTGTGACTTAAACCTCTCTGTGACGCCTGTGCCATTCAGCGCCAGCCATTCAGTCATTCACTGGCTACCCACTGTGTATCGGTCCCCATGCATCAGGGATTGTGGGTGTCACGTTATAGTGACAAAAAGTCTTAACATCCAACAGGAGAGCACATCTACCGCCCAACGGCAGAGGTGGGGATGATGAGCTGGTTCCACTCAGCCTGTCCAGTTTCTGGCCAATGGGGCAGCCTCTGGTCGGTTCTTCCACAAGCCTGGAGGACAAGCTGGGTCACAGCTTGTTTCCTCTTCTGATCTACTCTGTAAGAGCTGGGGTTCTCCCAGGATCCCCTTGGGCAGTTGGATGCAAGGCCTTCTTGGGAAGAGGAACCTCAGAAAGGTCAGGCAAATGACTCAAGGTCACAATGGAAGCCAGTGGGACTCGTTGGTGCCTGGGTCTCCCTGTGGCAAGTTGGCTGTGAGTACTGCTCCCACCCGTGGCCTGGCCCCCCCCCCCCCCCCCCCCCCGCCGTAAGCTCCTAAGGAGAGTGGCCAATTCTGTTACTTGTCTGGTATTTTCTACTTTGAACTAGTGCACCTGACAGTGCTAGATGTGGTCTAACTGTTCAGTGTATTTTTGCTAAACTGAATGATCTGATCTTGGATGGCTGAGCACACCGTGCCCAAGGAGGCCTTATGGACCTGACCAGGGAGGAGGGGATGGAGTCCCAGTGCGTCCTTTCCAGCTTTTTGTTCCCTGCTAGCTTTCTGCTTAGCTTGCGGGCTTGTGAGTGCATGGTCCCAAAGAATTCTCAGCATCACCCACTTGAAGGAGCACTGACCTACAAACCCAAGACCCAAAGAAGTAAGTTTGGGACAAAACAGAAACTTAGGATCTGAGAAATTTAAGAATGAGGATGAAGGGCTTTCTCTCTGCTCATTGCTGGCACAGGGCCCAAACGCTCAGGGAGGGGGTGTACTCACCGAGGCAGTGCAGGGAGACCAGGGAGCCTGAGAGACAGGGTCTGGAAGGGAGACACAGAGCCTTGTGATTTCTGTGGGAGGCGAGGACTCCCGTCCTCTGGTAGTGTTGGCCCCAGCCCCTGTCCCAATACCTGGAAGTCTGGAACCCACGTGCTAGGGGACTATATGGAAAGTGCATGGCTGCTTAGTTCAGTTTAATTTGATTCGTTTGGATTCAAAAACCCCTGCTGCTAAGCACCCACTGTGTGCTGGGCCCTGCCTGTGTCAGAGCCCAACCCGAGCCCTTGGCATTCCTGGAGTGGAGGAGACCAGAGCCTGGAACCCTGTCTGTTACACTGTGGGCTTTCAAATGGACAAGAAGTGGGATTTCAATGGAATTACAGGCAAACATCATTCTGCTACCATCTTGGTCCTTTTTCAGATTTACTCTTGGATGAATAAGCAGCTGTCAGCAGCATCCTCTCTGGGGTTCTCTGCAGCAATGTGGCCATTTTTATCTAGATGCTGACCTCTCATACAGGGTGGTGAGGCAGAGGAACAGGCCACTGCCAAAAGCCATGTGGCCTTTTCTCTGGAGGGCTGGGAACGTGGAGAGGTCTTACTCTGGCCCGGGTGAGTGGCTGGGAAGGACACGGTGGCTTTTGGAATCTTGCCTATTGGGTTTAATCAGGAACACAGAGCAGTAGGAAAATTTTTGATTTTACTCGGATGAAAAGACCACTAACATGTGGACAGCACACTTTGTCCAGCTGTCTATCATATATAAAAAAGGGAGTCAACCCAGAAAACCTCTCAGAAATCTGGTTCTCTAGCTCTTGGTATCTAACAGTCTGCATGGCCTGGAGTTCTTCCTGTTGTCTGGCTTACATTCCCCTTGCTGCACCTGCTCAGGGTAGCCTGCCTGCACCCCTGATGGCAGCCTCCATATGTGAGCCTCTTATGGGCCGGAAGGCATCCTCCCACTTACCCACTTAGGTTTTGCACCTGAAGCTCTTGGCCATTCTCTGTGATTCCAACAACATCCAGATCTTGGTCTGGGCTGATCTCCACAGCTCTGAAGGTGGGTCTGCTGCTCATGTTGGGAGGGAGAGAGATGTGAGCTAGGGCAGGAGGTTAGAAGATGGGAAGAGTAGCCTCCTCTCCCAGGACTTGGCTTTAGGCACGATGCTGATGTGTTCTTGCTTCCCCAGAGCTCTGGACAAATGTTAGGGACATGCTTTCCTAACTCCCAGCTATAGCCCTATTTCAAATGTCCTAGCATTTTTTTTTTCTCTCACTCACAGCCAGAGAACTGGAATGTGATATTTGGTTTTCTGAACAAGGCGTCTGGGCTGAATTTGGTAGTGGTGGTACATTTATGGCTCCCTTGGAGATAGGACAGGATGAGATCAGTCTTCACATGAGTCCAGAAGAGTCTTTCAGTCAGACCACCCTCACCCTTTCTCACCCCTAATCCATATTTTTCTTCTTTCAAACCTTGGGTTTAAGTCTTTGTTCCTCCAGGAAGGCTCCCCTGATTCATCCCGTTGTTCTGATTATCCCATCCTTCCCCATCCAGCCATGCTAGTACTGGCTCTGTGTGCAGGGGTCAGATTGACTGAGACACTGGCCGGCCAGCCAGCCACTGATGCTCTCACATTCGGGGCCAGGAATCCTGTACACCTCACGGGCCCAGGTATGCCTGGAGGGACGTGAGTGTGGCAGTGCTGGGTTTTAGAGCCCTGGAGATGGAGGTTCTCATCCTGCCTCTGACACTAGCTCGATGTGTAACCTTGACAGGTCACACCCTTCCCCGGTTTCCGTAAGCCTCAATTTCTCCCTCTATAAAATGATAGAGGTGGACGCAGTGATCTCCAGAGCCCTTCCCACCTTGAATCATCTCGGGTATGATGGTCCTGGGACAAGAAGGACTGCTGACCTAGGTAGAGGAAGGAGAGAGAAATCCAAGACCCGGCAGGAGGGACAGCGCTGGAAATGGACAGTCCCCGGAAAGTTAACCTCTGTTCACCAAGCACACCCTAATGAATAATTCTAACCAGTTTTGATTTTGTAGAACTCAAGGAGCCAGCTGGTTTGGCATGTCAGTCTCTCTGGAAGGGCAGAAATTCCAGGAACTTGTTACCTTAAGAAGCCCCGGAGACACCTTGGTTGCATAAGGCAGCCGCAGCCTGTGCGGGCACTGCTGACGCTGCAGTCAGACGCTGGACTGCAGTGGGGAGGAGGGACTGGCTGCAGGGGAGGCTGGGCTGGGCCCGCCGGGGGGAGGGGGAGGGCAGGGCTGGGGGTGCCTCCCCAGCTCTCCTCAAAAATGAAGCAGGCAGAGGTGTTCTGTCCGGGGTTGTGCCCCACCGTGAACAGCAAAGACCTGCTAGCCAGAGAGCAGAGGGAGCCGAAAGGTGTGATGGATCAGTCATGCCACCCGGAGGAGCACGTATGGAAAAAGGACCTTGAGGCTGCCATGGGGGCGGGGGGGGGGGGGATGGGAGAGAGTTCTGTGATTGACGGTGTCTGCCTAGCATTTCTCATTTCTGCCTAGACTCTGGGTCTAGTTTCTTAGAGTCCTTGGGGGCCTGCCAGGGAGAGGTTCCCCCACTCTGCAGCTGAATACATGGATCCTTTTTCCTCCTCTCTGGTTAGGTTCTCTGAGTGATCGGTGGCCTCACTTCTCCCTTTGCAGGGAAAGCCCTGGGAGGAGAGAGAATTACCCAAGCCCAGGAATTAAGGGGTCTTGGGCACAAATGCCAGGCCTCTCTCTCCCAGCTCCTACCCAGGCAAGTTACTTATCTTCCCTGAACCTATTTCTAAAATAGATACAGTAATAAATACCTTTTCTGGTTTTTGCCAAGATCAAATGAATATAAACCCAACATGCAAATCACCCTTATGATTATATAACTCTTCATCTGCTGAAGATTAGGAACTACTCTACAAATTTGCTGATGGGGCTCCAATGTAAACAGGTTTGTTTACACTGAATTTTAACCAATGGGACATTGAATAAGTAAATATATTCTGGGACAGGGTGGCTTCTTGCAGAGTCAAGGAGTGAGGGTCTTGAGGAGCCAGAAGTGTGTGTTAGGGTGAGTGGTGAGGCTTACATTTTCTCGCTGCACCTGATCATTATCCTATGATGTTGCCAATACTTTCTCCAATTAACCATTGAGGAAACTGGGGCTTAGGAGATTGAACTTCATGTTGCTTATATGTGAAAGTGTTCAGGTTCAAGAGCGATTCTGACTCCAGTATCTATATTTTTAGGAAAGAAAGAGGAAGGGAGGAAGGAAAGGGGGAGGGACGGAAGAGGTAATGGGGGTTAGGGGCCAGCCTCTGGAGGCTTGAGCTGGGTACCTGTCATAGCCCATCTGCCCACAGGCTGTCTTGGCCAGAGCTTCTGTGAAGTTGTCAAAGCAGGCAGAGGCCCAGCTCCCTGTAGCTGGATCCAGCACCTGCAGGGTGGATCGGTCCCTGGAGAGGCGGACTGAAGGGGAAGAACCTGGGTCAGTTGCAAGACAGGGGCCTGTCTGGCCCATCTCCCTCAGAATTCATCATGGGGCCAGCACAACCTGCCTACACCCAGACCCTAGAGCATCATAGAACACCAACCCTTTCAATCTCAAGCAAAGTTCTTCCATTTGGCTTTGCTGGATTGAGCCTCATTTTGATGGTAGCTAGGGTGACCAGATGTCCGGGGAACAACCTCCAGGTTGACCTGTTGTCCTGGCACAATTACCAATAGCTCTCCCTCTCATTCTTCTAGATATCAGTTTTGGTGATATATGGTGACTCTACTCATGGTCCCAATAGCTTGCCTAGCCTGGGGTACTTCTCACTGAGGAACCTAGCTCCTTCTCCACATGTGGTGAGGAGGAGGAGGTTGAGAGGGAAGTACTGTTGGCAGTAGGAGGGCAGGAGCTCATAGGCATTTGCCTTATGATTAAAAAAAGAAGATATACCCAAGAAGGGACTTAGTCCTGACCCTTAAAAGCCCCCAACACTCATCTCCTGAGCATGAGTTTTTGGTGGAAACATCTATTGCTTTGAAGGACCTAGCTCAGTTTTGTTACATAGCATGTTACAATAAACACCTAATGAGTAGGAGGATCAATAGCTAGTTAATGGCCTTACACTTGATTTTCTTGTCCCTTGGAAGTAACAGATTTTGTAGAAAGGAGGCAACTGTCCCAGGGTTATCCAATCTAGCCACCTACCTCAGTTCTACCCAAGTGTAGCAGAATGGGGCAGGCTATGTCACAATTTCCTGTCTCTCCGGTCTGCATTTGTTCATCGGATATTCACTGTATTTGCTACACGTTAAGTACTGGAGATCTAGTCGGCAGGATCTGGTCCTGTTCTTATTCTTAAAAACCTTCCAGTGGGGATGGAAACTGACAAGCCAGTAGGCAGATGCTAAGTAGCGGACCAAGGGGGACCTGGCCTGCTTTCCTGCTGTGCCCACTCCCCTCGTCCCTCCAGCCCCTGGACTCACCTGCCACTGGGGACTCATCGGGGAAGTTCTTGACACAGTGCTGCTCATCCTCCCCTGAGGCACAGTCCTGCTGGCCATCACACACCTGCCTCCTCGGGATGAAGTGGAGAGGCTGCCCGCAGAGGAAGTAGTATTTGTCCAGAATCACCTTGACTGGAAGGCAGAGGCAGGGAGAGGGCAGAGAGGGCTGACAGTCAAGCAGGCAGCCCCGGGGGTGGGCTAGGCTGTGTTTCTCTGTGAGTACGCTGGCTTCGAGGCAGGCAGATGAGGGTTCCAGACACTGTGATGCCCCTTGGTAGCCTGTTTACTTGGTCCTGAGCCTCAGTTTCCTTATCTGTAAAATTTAACACCTGTCCCATACCTACCAGATGGCTGATTTGCTAAGTGAGAGAATGTGTGGGAGAAATTTAGGAACAGCCACCACTGGCCTCCTACTCTCCGGGGCTGGCACGTGCCTCTGGTAATGGATAGACGACACTGGGCCTGGAGCCCAAAGATGAGAGTGCTGGTCCTTTCCCTCCTAAGGCCTCCATTTTCTCATCTGTACAGTGGGGTGAGGTTGTTGGGAACATTTGGTGAGCTGGTGGCCTTGAGCGTCTTGCAACCACCAAGGGCAGTTCTAGAAACTAGGTGTTTTTATCTGGGACTGAAAGATCCATGGAGGGGTCAGTGTTTTGTCTTCTGCCTGCTGCTTTCAAATTCTGTTGCTCCTTTGCTGTCTCAGGCTGATGGGAATGTCTCAGGCTGATGGGAATGAGTCTAGTGTTTGTAAAGTCTCCTGATAGGCTGAGGCCCTCCTGCCTAGCTGCTTTGTACAGTCCTGACAACAGCTTGAGGAGACAGGTGTCATGATTAACTCACATCATAAGGGGGGACACCAAGGCTTAGAGTTGGGGTTTATTTCCCAAGGCTGCAGGATTCCAATCAGGGTCTAACTCTTAAGCTCTTTGCTGCCTCTCCATGCCTTCCCTGAGGGGGTTCAAGAGGGGATCTGCTGGCCCTGGTGCCCCTGGTGTGAGGGAGCACTGGAGAAGGAGCAGACTGCGTCTTTCCTAGACCTTCAGAATTTAGTTCATGGTCAGGAGCCAGGGTAAGGCAGGGTCACTCTAGCCTCCTGGGACAAAGCCAGGACAATGTCACCAGTTGAGACCCCAGAAGCCAAAAAGTTGAGGGAGCTTTGCCTGGGATGGAGGTTCAGATTCCACAGGGGAGCCTTGTGGGACGGAGAGACCCCAGTTCTAACTCATGCACCACTGCCTGCCCGGCACGCCCTGGATGAGTCGGGCCCCTTCACTCTCCAGTGTGGCAGGGCATGTGCTCAGAGAAGGCACCCTCTCCTTCACGTTGGTCTAAATAGAACAGGCTTAGGATGGCAGCTCTGCTTATGCTGCTGCAAACCACGGCCAAGGGCCAGCCAAGGTCAAGAAGAAATCCGCATCTCACGGCTCAGCAGGGCTCTAAGGGATCTGGTGGTGGTAGTGTTGTGGATCCGCACTTCCATTGCCGCAGACGGAAAGGCACTTGTTCAGGCCGGGTCCCCAGGGTCCTGTCCCAGCTGTCTCTCACTGCCACACCCCCTCTCTCAGCCTAGGTGCTCAAGCAGAGGAGGAGGGTTTGGGCTTGGTGATCTCTGAGTGGCAGTGGCTGCTGCTGGTGGAAATGCCACCATGGTTCCAGGTGCGGGCTCTTGAGGGCCCTGTCCCAGCTGGGTTAGCAAACACATGTTTATGGCCTTGGTCACATCTCAGTACCCTATATGATGACCCATACTTTTGAACAACCTGATTTTCATCCAGGTAGTTGACCCACATTATCTCCAATATCCTTCTGGGAGAGATGGGATGTTCTACTGATGAGAGGAGAGTGCAGTTGGCAGAGGTCAAAAGATGACTTCCCACCCTGAAAGCACAGTCAGTAGCCTGCTGTGACTATGGGGGAGGAGAAGCAAGGACAGTCACAACTGAGACGGGATGTGGACATGGCGGGTCATTCAGTTCACTCTTTGTCCCCGAGTGGCCTGCCCTACATCACACTGGGTCTCAGGCACTGGCTGAGAAGACAGAGCTGAAATGGGGTGGGGAGGTGTTGTCTGCCTGGGTGGGTTTCCCTGGTGCCTCCTGTCAGTGTCCCTGCCTCTCTTCTAGCCAGTAGGGGTGCTCAGGTGTCTGTAGACTCCTGATGAAGGAGGCAGGGGCCTCCTGGCCTCCAGGGGGCCAGTTGCCTGCATGGATTTGTACCATGTACAGCTGTGCTTTCCCTGTGGCAGAGATTATCGGGGTAGGTGGGGGCTGCATTCACCTCCCTCTTTCACTCCTGGGGAAGGCTCCCTTCATTTTTTTTTTTTTTTGGAAGGCTCCCTTCAAAGCCGGGGGTAGACACATGTCACACAAAGCTTTCTGCAGATCACCTGCCCAGGACTGCTCGGTGGAAGGGTGGAGGGTAGGGTTGTGCTCAGGCGTGGGCAGGAGCTGCTGTTTACTGTGGGGGTGAGGACAGAGGTGGGGGCAGTCATGAGGGGGTGAGGGCCGCCACTTACTGAGGACAGCCACGATGATGATGATCGCCACACTCAGCAAGGCTGCGATGATGGGGATCCCCACCTTTTTGAAGGTCTCCAGGGGAGTGCGGGGTTTGCGCAGTGGGGTGACATCTGTGAGGCAGAGGGAGAGAGCCTGAGGTCAGCACTTGGAGACCATCCCTGCTGAGGCCCACAGCCTCCCTGCCCTCTGACCCCAGTGCTGAGCAGCCGAATGTCTCTCGGGGACAGTTTTGCTTAGCACTGGGGGTTTTATTCCTGCAGACTGGGCTTAGCTTCAGCAGCACCTGGTCATCCCATCTCCTTTGCTTACCCAGGCTTATCCATCTCTCACCTGTGCCCCTCTAATGAGCCTCCAGACCATGGCATCTTCTCCTTGTCTTAGCCTATTCTGGGATGTTTCACCCTGGCCAGTCTGCCTTGGAACTGCCCCTGGAGAGGCAAGTACTCATCTGCTTTACTATCATTTATCCTCTTTTCTGACTTATCTTTTGATTAAATTGTAAGCTTGAGGAGGGCAGGGACCTCCAACATATTGGAGCTCTATGCTCATAGAGTCCTAAAAAATGCATCCTAATGGACTCCATCTCCAACTCAACAGAGAGGGAGTCCCTAGAATGGTCCTTGTTTTTAAGGAGATAGCAGTTTGGGGGAAGATGTGAACAAGGACACAGTCTCCAGTACTGCCAGACGCCATCAAAGCACTCACTTAAATGGGCCTCTGTAGGTGAGGTGGGGGGGTTAGGGTGGACCAGCTGGGCAAAGGCCTAGGGGTGGGTGACTGTGAACTCCTGAGGTGTAACATGGGCCGGTGCATGTTGTGGAGGCAGGACTGGCAATGTCAGTCTGTGGAGAGTCCTGAATACCATGCTAGGAATTTGGATTTGATCATGAAGGCAGTGGGGAGCCATGGAGAGCTTTGAGCAGCAGAGAGACATGATCAAATTCATATTTTTGATATTTAGAAAGATGAATCTTTCATCGGGAAGGAGGTGGATGGGAACAAGAGTTTGGGGTTAGGAAAACCAGGTAGGAGCCTGGAGATGCCTTAAAACAGAGGAATGATTTCACTGATATGTGGAATTAAAGAAACAAAAGAGAGGATCATAGGGGAAAGAAGGGAAAAATAAGACGAAATCAGAGAGGGAGGCAAACCATAGAGACTTAACTCTAGGAAACAAACTGAGGGTTGCTGGAGGGGAGGGAGGTAGAGGTACGGGGTGACAGGGTGATGGGCATTAAGGAGGTCACAAGATGGAATGAACCCTGGATGTTATACCAATTAATGAATCACTGAACTCTACCTCTGAAACTAATAAAAACTATGTTAATTGAATTTAAATAAAATTAAAAAGGTAATCATTTCCTGTCATCCTTCCCCATTTAAAAAAAATACCACTTATCAGCTCTTAACATACCCTGTATTTTACATATTACATATACTCTCTGTCCCCTCCCATCCCTGCCTGAAATGAAGACTCTATGAAGATAAGGAGTTTTTTTCTTCTTTCTTTTTTGTTCATTGCTGAGTTGCTGGTGTCTCAACAGATATTTGCCAAATGAATACGTGAATCGCTCTTTGCTTGATCTCTTAAGCACACATCCTTTCCATCTTCTAGGTCTTGTTTTCTGGCTGGGATGGTGGCTAGTTATATGTCTGTCTCTAGCTCTTTCCCCAGCTCTTTAAAAGCAGAGAATGGCATCCAGCCAGAGCCTGGTGCTCAGTAAATGCTGGTATCATTGAATCTGTTGAAAGCGTTTCCTCAGGGGAGTTGAAGCCTTGGATGCAGAGCTGAGGCCCTGGGGATGTGGGCTGGCACCAAGGAGCTGATCAATCTAAGCAGGTATCATTTTAAAGTTCTAGCAGTCAGTGTGCAGAACTGTCCTCTTTCCCGAGGCCGTGGGCATGGTGACATTTCGTTCATTCTTCCTCCATGAGTGATTTTTTTTTTTTTGTTGTTGAGCATCTCCCACTGGGGATGCAAGGTGGGCTTGTTTTCTCAGAGGTGGACCGTCTATAAGGGAGTCCCTTCATGAGTTCCCCTGTCCAGGTCCTGATTTCTCTGCCTCCCTGATGCTCTCAGGAAGAACATGATCAGGCACTGCAGAGTTTTCTTGGCTTATGTTTCATACTTAAAGTTAACAAAGCCACCATGAGCTATGAGGAGCCTCCCTGCCTGCCACCGTTCCTTCCTCCAGCCTGTCCTGCCCACCGCTGTGGGACAGAGCCTCCCAGCATATTGCTGTCCTATCCCTGCTCGAGAACCCTCCTTGACTCCCTATCTAGACCATGCTCTTCTTCAGACTGTCAAAGCCAGTGTGATTTGGCCCCTGTCTCCTTGCCACATGGACTTCCCGCTGCTAATCCTCGCCAGCTCCCAGGGCCACATGGGCAGCTCCCCCCTGGTCCTTGCACACCTGCCTTCATTCCTACCTCTGAATCTTTACTCCTGCTCTTCCCTTTCACCACTGAAACCCTCGTCACATCCTTCTGTTTTGTGATAGTCTATTCCTGTGGGGGCTTTGTCAAAGCTTGCCTCACCCATGACACTATTATCTCTGATGTCTTGGCACCGCTCTCTCCTTCTTGAGCTCCCTTCACACGGGCATTGGTGGCAAATCTAACTTGTTTTCTGGTTGGGTAGTTCTCAGGCTTACTCAGGTGGTAAAGCCCTTGGATGTCTGGTGTTCTCCGGGGACATGATCTATTGAATTCCAAAGGATAAACTAGGTGCCCTCTTACTTGGGAAGATGACATTGCTTATGATCATTATTAATTTGAGGCCCTAATATTGTTGAAGTAAGGGGGATCGGTTATTTCCTTGTTGATTTGTCCTATTAATTTGTGCTTTGCTCACTCATTTTGTTAATTCAGCAGGCTACCAGGAATTGTTATCAGTGGTTTAGCAGAATGGAATGGGAGGGAAAAAAAGTGTTCCCTTAAATTTGGGAATACTTTACCTCTTAAACTATTCTTCTCCTGTAAATCAGGCAAACACTATCATTTTCTAGTCTACCAGGGAAAAGACCTGTGTCTAGCTTATTCTGTGGCAGCATGGTCAAAACAACTTCATGAGGGCAGGGACTTTGGCTGTCTTATTTCCTGCTTTAGTCTAGTGTCTAGCCCAGAGCCTGGCATGTGGCAGGCATCCACAGAGTTGTTGAATGAATAAGAAAGTGAGTGACTGAATGAATGAGTTGGAGAATCACTGCTCCTGTGGCTTTAGGTTTGTTGGTCCTATTTCCCTGGAGACCAGGCATCCTGCTTCTAGAATTATCCTGGACCTTACAGTTGCTTAATACATTTTTGCTGAATGATGAATGGGTGGGTGGATGGAGATCTTCCACAGCATTTAGCCCTTGGTGGCAGTGGTGAGGGCCAAGCAAGGGGGGTTTAGTATCTATTTGGTGACTGGTGGAAACTTGGAGGCTGAGGTGGATGAGGGGAAGCCGGATTTTAACTTACCAAGGCTGTTCAGGGGTTGATCACTGTCCGGATCCTGTAATTAAAGGAAAAATAGTAAGATGAGTGAGGGAAGCCCTCGGGCTGGGGCTGAGAGCCCAGGGGAAGCTCTTGGTTCTCATCTCCGTCTCCTTCTCCCTGCTGATTCTAAGTTGGGTGGCTCAGCGATGTCTAACTGGTTCAACATGTAAAGTTCAGTTTTACATTTATATTAACTGGTACAACTAGCTAACTAGGTGTACTAGTTAGCAATTGTGGGAATGCCAGGCTGCTTGGTTGTTATATTGCTAAGTTTCTCAGGATGATTCTGCTCTGCTGTCTGTTTTACAACCATTTATGTCTACTTCAATAGGTGTTATAATTCTGTAAAAACTCAGACGCTGGGATGCCTGGGTGGCTCAGGCTCAGAGCGTGATCCTGGAGTCCTGGATCGAGTCTCACATTGGGCTCCCTGCAAGGAGCCTGTGTCTCCCTCTGCCTGTGTCTCTGCCTCTCTCTGGGCATCTCTCATGAATGAATAAAATTAAAAAAAAAAAAAAGACTCAGACCCTTCACAGAAAGGGATACTTCAATGGTCAATCAGTGCCAAAAGATGCTCATCAGGCAAGTGCAAATTCATACCACAATATCTCTACATAGACACCAGAATAGCTAAAATGAAAAAGATGGACAATGATAAGTATTGCTGAGGATGGGGAATATTGGAACTCTTACACACTGTTGTCAGGAATATAAGTTAGTACAGGTAATTTGGGAAATAATCTGGCTGAATCAGCTAACTATGTGAATATTTTAGGATTCTATGACCCAAGAATAAGCCAGGAGAAATGAGTTCGTGTGTCTAGCAAAATACCTGTACCCGAATGTTCATAGTAACTGCATTCATAATAGCTAAAAATTGAAACAACCCAAAGGTCAATCACTGATGGAGTAAATAAATAAATTGTGGTATATTCATATGATGGAATATATTTCAACAGTAGACAAGCATTACCTAGTGCTAAGTGCAATGACCTATGGATGAATCTCATAGATATAATAATGAAGGAAAGAAACTAGATACAAAAGAGCAAACTCTGTATGATTTCATACATACAAAATTTAAAGGGTAAAGTTAATCTATGGTGATACAAGTCAGAATAGTGAACACTACTGACTGGGGAAGTGGGGCAGTTTTTGGAAATAGCACAATGGCAACTTCTGAAATGTTGGAAAACTTACAGATCTTGATCTAAGTGTTGGTTACATGGGTGTATATATGTTTAGTATTCACTAGGGGGTACACTTTAAATTTGAGTATTTTACTGAATGTATTTTATACTGAATAGAGCAAATAGACAAAGATAAAACAATATCAGAGCACTATGGTACTTCTGCAAGTATACTCTTAGGTCACCATGGACACACATACACAAATACAAGCCTCTGTTCTTCCAGATACATCACTTCATGAGTGCACTCAGCACACACACAGCCACACAAGGTCACACACAGGAACCATGCACATAAGGCTCACATACGAAGTCCATATACCCCCTTTCCTGCAAAGCAAAGGGTAAGGGAGACAGGACTGCCAAGGCGCATGCCTCACTCTTGTGCCTCCTAGAAAGCTCTCTTCTCTTTGCTCCCTTTCCAGTTGCTATAGGGGCTGGAGTCCCTGGGCTGGGTGAACGGCAGGCCTGTCTGGGGTCTGTGTCTCCATCCTGGGACTTGTTTGCTCATGGTGCTGAGGTCACAACGGTTCCACTGGTAGGTGGAGGAGCTGCAGGACTTTGAATGTTTTCATCTGAGAATTTTTCTAGTCCCATTTGGGGGTGACAGGGCTTCTTCTAAGCCTTGGGTGGGTGTCCCAGATTAGGTCTGGTTGGCAATGGCAGTGGGGAGCGGGGCATCCCTAGGTGGTGTTTGCTCCCATGACTGAGCATGGCAGACATAGTCATTGGGAGAAGGAGCTTCTTCCTTTCCTCCCAAACTCTGTAATCTGCTGGAGGGGCATGCCTGGCTTTGCCCTTGGGTGGCATGAGGGCTTAGGCAGTTGGGGGATGTAGCAGAGACAGCAGGCTCTGGAGTCTGCAGGGCTGAGTTGGAATACAGGTTCTGCATCTTATTAATTGTGAGTCTTGGGTGTGAGATAGTTAACCTCTCTGAGCTTCACGTTCCCCGGTTCTCCATTCCCCCTTCGTAAAGTGGAGAAGATGGCACCTACTTTCAAAGCGCCACTGTGAGGTTTAAGTGAACTATGTAGTTGGAGGGCCTGGCTCACACCGGCGGGGTCTCTTCCCTCCTAGGCCCCCCAGCATTTGCTGCAATGCTTTCCCACTGGGCAGTCAGTCCCTGCTTCTTACGGCTGTTGCACCCTCAGAATTTTGCACTGGAAAGATGGGACAGATGCTGTTAGACGGAACTGGACTCTAGGCTCTGCCCTATAGATCATTCCCAGCTACCTGTCCTCCACCACCTCCAACACCTGGAGGGAGTACTATTTCCAGGGTAAAGATGAGAAAAGTCCTGCAACGCTGCGTTGCCATGGCTATAGAGTTGGGTAATAGTAGTATCAACAGTACTTAATCTACATACAGTCTGTGTATAAGAGTTTACAAAATTCTTTTGTCTGACTCAGTCAAGCTCAAGGCTGAAAAGGATCTCAATTGTCTGATAACCAGTACGGGTAGCATTAAGTCACTGAGTATTCAATGAAATATTTCACAAAGCTCTGCTCTAGGAGCTGTGGATTCAAAGACAAATAAGAAATAAGTGCAGCAGGATGGGAGAGGTGCCCAGACAGGCCAGGCCAGGCCAGGCCCTGCCCTCACCTCTGGTGGGTGGGGAATAGGGGAAAGCAGGGGGAGGACAGGTATGACCAGAGGAAGCTGGAACCAGTAGTGCCATGCAGAGTGAAACAGGTGATGGGAGACAGTGCCTGGTTGATACTTAGAGCCAGAGACCTAGGGAAGTGGCCAGGGTGGTTGGAGAGAGCCCCTGGGGTGAGATCTGAATGCCAGAGAGGAACAAGCTCTCAGAGAGTCAGAACAAAGATCTGCAAGAACAAGAGGAAGGAGAAAGACGCTGGTGGTGGGGAAAGTCACCACGTGCTTGGGAGGTCAAAGCAGCAGGCCTTGCCAGTGGGTTGGATGCTCTGGGGTCTTCAGGGGAGAGCGTAGGAGGATATTTGCCGAGATGCAAAGGCTGTGGGAGGGGCAGATTAGAGGGACATCAGGAACATCCACTTACTGGCCTTTCTCAGTCAATTCATTCTTTCTCCCTGAGTCTGCCTGTGCTCACATGCCTACATTAGTTGAGGTAGGTAGGGCAAGTCTTGTGTTTATTATTAATTCAACAAATATTGACTGCATGCCTTTGATGGGACTGGAATTGTGCTGAAGCCGAGACACGGAACAAAAGAGGTTCACAGTCTGCACTTTCTTGATTCCTCATCTGTGAACAGAAGTGACCTCAGTACCCCTTTAGCTAATATGTTTTCGATTGCAATCTACTGAATAGTGCTACAGAAAACATTCCACACCTTTTTTGAAAACAAAATAAACTAAGTCAAAACTACAAGATAGAATGACAGAGACTATGACTAACTGGTAATTAGGGCATCCCTGGTGTCTCCTACAATGCCTGGCATAGAGTGGGTATTTATTTTTTTAAGATTTTATTTATTTATTTGAGAGAGGGAGAGATAGCATGAGCATCAGTGGGGGGCGGGGGGCAGAGGGAGAAGCAGGCTCCCCAGTGAGCAGGGAGGCTGACATGGGATTTGATCCCAAGACCCTGAGATCATGATCTGAGCTAAAGGCAGATGCTTAACTGAGCTACCCAGGTGCCCCTAGGGTGGGTATTTAATACTTGAGTGAAAGAATTAAGGAAAATATCTTGGTTTCAGGGCTCAGTCCCAGGCCCGCCTTGAATGAGCCGACTCTGGCACACACACACACATTGGAATATTATGCTACAGTCAAAACAAATGAACTATGGCACCGCAAAATAAATGGATGGTATCAGTAATTTAACATTAGAGGAGAAAGTAAATCCTCAAAAGATTACACATAACCCAGACTCTTTTTCATAAGGAAGCAAGGAAATGATAAAATGATGCTTATGTTCCAGAGGGCTTCTAGCACCTTTGCTGGCCTGGCAAAGATGTAGAATCAATATTCACTGAATTACTAAACATAAGAGACTTGCCCACCCACCTGGGCAGGGGGAGGGGATGTGTGTGTGTGAGGGCAGGTGGCTAGATGCAGTGTTTGTTAGGGGTGGTGGGTTTATGGAGGTTTACATCTTTATTAAAGCCATCCAACTAGTTGGGGAGTTACAAAGGGGATGCTGCGGAAGCCAACAGTGGAAAATGTCATGAATCAAGAATTGATTCATCCAGTGGTGTGCACCTGAGATTCAAAGAGAAAATAAAGAAGCAGTTGGCTATGCTGAGGGGTTCAAGGAGTCCAACTCCTATCCTCCCATCCTCCCGGGCTCTACTCTGACTCTCATACCACCTGAGTTCTTACATTGAGTGGCCTGCTCTTTGGCTTTCTTGAAGCCTCTTCTCCAACATGGTGAGATCAGGGAGGATGGGTTGCCAGACTTCCTGGAAGAGGAGCTGCTGAAGGTCATAAGCATCTAGGGTAATGGACAGGGAGGTGGGCACATTTAGGTTTATGAGCGGCCACTGGCAATATCAATGTGAATTGCCTTCCTGAGCAGGATGAGGATGGGAGTGTGCAGGAGCCGTGTTGCCTTTCAGCCCAGAATCCATCCCAAGTTGGGGGTGGGGGGGAAGAGAAATGGGGCCGAGAGATGAGGTAAGAATCAAGGACAGACTGGGTGGCTCAGCAGTTTAGTGCAGCATTCAGCCCAGGGCATAATCCTGGAGACCCAGGATCGAGCCCCATATCGGGCTCCCTGCATGGAGTCTGCTTCTCCCTCTGCCTGTGTCTCTGCTTCTCTCTCTGTGTCTCTTATGAATAAATAAATAAAATCTATAAAAAAAATCTTACCAGGTAAGACTTAGGAACCTGGCCATCCCCCGTC